GACCAGTGTTGTCCAGTATATTCACAAGCTACCTGGAGAAAATGAGGGCGCAAAATTTGTAGATGATACACGATTAGTGAAGAGAGCTAGCTTCAAAGCTGAATGCAAAGGGCTACAAAGGGATGTCATAAAACTAGGTGACTGGACAAGAAAATGACAGATAAAATGCAGTGTTGAGCAATGCAGAATAATGTATACTGGAAAACATAATTTCAACTATACATACAAAATGATGGGGTCTAAATGATCTGTTCCCATTCAAGAAAGAGCTCTTGGAGTCATTGCAGATAGTTCTCTGACAACACCAATTCAGTGTGCAGCAGCAGTCAAAAAAGCAAACAGAATGTTAGGAACTATTGGGAAAGAGATGGGTAATAGGACAGAAAATATCATAATGTTACTATAGACACCCATAGTATACCCACAGCATGAATGCTGATGGGATTTCTGGTCATCCCATCACAAAAAAAGATATATTAGCATTGGAAAAAGTGCTTAGAGAGATAAAGTGGTTCAGGGTATGGAACAACTTCCACATAAGAAGGGATTAAAAAGACAGGGCCTGTTCACAGCAGAAAAGAGATGACTAAGAAGGGATATATGGAGGTCTATAAAATCATGAATGCTGCAGAGAAATAAGTAAGAAAGAGTTATTTACCACTTGAGTAACACAAGAATCAGGTGTCACCTAGGCATCAGGTTTAAGAAAAAACATATGGAAGTACTTTTTCACACAACACAGTCAACCTGTGGAACTCATTGCCAGGGGATGTTGTGAAAGCCAAAAGTAACACTGAGTCCAAAAGAGAATTAGAAACATTCCCAGACGATAGGTCCATGAATGACTATGAGCCCGGATGGCCAGAGATGCAACCCTATGGTCTTGGTGTCTCGAAACTTCTGACTCTCATGCCCTGATACCAGCCCCAGCTTCTGAAACACTAGACAATTGCCCAATCCTGCCATTCCCTCTGAAGAATCTGGCACTGGCCACTGTCAGAAGACAAGATACTGAGATAGATGTATCACTGGTCTGGCCCATGGCCATTCTGATGTAAGTCACCATAGCTACCATTTCAAATGGCATGACCCCTGATTTGGGTCTCCACTACCATGCTCTCCTCACAGAGGAACTCTTCTCTCTCATTTCCTGGCTGCTGACTGTGGTGCTTAGTGAGAGCACGTTCACTGCCTGCCCTGCTCACCAGCGATACATAAGGTGTGAGAACTGAGTCGAATGAAAGGGTTTCTGTGCAGGTACTGTATTATAACGTTCCCAAGAGCAAAAAATTCCAACACACACATTTGTTCACTGTGTGCTGTAAAACATGAGAGTTTTCCTAGAGCCAGCTGTGCACATGGTTTCTGGGTAGCACTTGCTCCTCATCTGGCTGCCGATTAGTACCTTTCTTGCTCAGAATATTTTTATCAGTTCTACCCGCTGACCTCTGAAGTACGATATCCTGACAGCAGGTTCTCAGACAGCAGGTTAAGCCGCACCCCCTTGGTGAGGCATACCATTTATTTGTGGGCCTGCCAGTCTATCCCTGACCTGTCAGCGGTCTCATGTAAATACAGTCCCATTTGAAACAGTGACTCCAGGATAACAGTGCCCCCAAAAGCCTACTGAGAGGTGCCCTAGCTTTGGCTCCAGTTACTATAGCAACAAGAGTCTACTTCTTAAGAATGTGCCCCATGGCATCCAGGAAAGATCCCCATAGATTTCTACACCTGCCCTAAACACCACTGGGGCTGGCACATGTGTAAAGGAGCTTCAGAATCAGAGAATGACAGCCAGTACCCTAAGAGCATCCCGGCACTTAAAAGCTGGGCTCTGCAGAGAATCTCACTCCTCGAGGGCCGAAATGACAGTCTGGACCTCTACATAGAATGCTTCCGCCGACGTGCACAGGCAGAAATTGTGGAAAAACAGCATCGCTTGCCTGGTAACCTCAGTCGTGCAGACGCAATGCCATCCACAGCCTCCGGAACAACTCTGCCATTATAATCAAAGAGGCTGACAAAGGAGGTGCTGTTGTCATCATGAACAGGCCTGACTACCTAAAGGAGGCTGCCAGACAACTCTCCAATACCAAATTCTACAGGCCACTTTCCTCAGATCCCACTAAGGAATATACTAAGAAACTGCACCATCTGCTCAGGACACTCCCCAAACAAACACAGGAACAAATCGACACACCTTTAGAGCCCCGACCAGGGTTGTTCTATCTATTACCCAAGATCCACAAACCTGGAAATCCCAGACGCCCCATCATCTTGGGCATTGGCACTCTCACTGAAGGACTGTCTGGCTATGTGGACTCTCTGCTCAGACCCTACGCCACCAGCACTCCCAGTTACCTTCGTGACACTACGGATTTCCTGAGAAAACTACAATGCATAGGTGATCTTCCAGAAAACACCATCCTAGCCACCATGGATGTAGAGGCTCTCTACACAAACATCCCACATGCAGATGGAGTACAAGCTGTCAGGAACAGTATTCCTGATGATGCCACAGCACAACTGGTGGCTGAACTCTGTGAATTTATCCTCACACACAACTATTTCAGATTTGGTGACAACATATACCTCCAGACCAGTGGCACTGCTATGGGCACCCGCATGGCCCCACAATACGCCAACATTTTTATGGCTGACCTGGAACAACGCTTCCTCAGCTCTCGTCCACTTACACCCCTTCTCTACCTACGCTACATCGATGACATCTTCATCATCTGGACCCATGGGAAGGAGACTCTGGAAGAATTTCACCATGATTTCAACAGCTTCCACCCCACCATCAACCTCAGCATGGACCAATCTACACGGGAGGTCCATTTCCTGGACACCACGATACAAATAAGTGACGGTCATATCAATACCACCCTATACAGAAAACCTACCGACCGCTATACTTACCTGCATGCCTCCAGTTTCCATCCCGGACACACCACACGATCCATTGTTTACAGCCAAGCACTGAGGTACAACCGCATATGCTCCAACCCCTCAGACAGAGACCTACACCTACAAGACCTTCAACAAGCATTCTGTAAACTGCGATACCCACACGAGGAAGTGAGGAGACAGATTGACAGAGCCAGACGTGTACCCAGAAGCCTCCTGCTACGGGACAAGCCCAAGAAAGAAACCAACAGAACACCACTGGCCATCACCTACAGTCCCCAGCTAAAACCTCTCCAACGCATCATTAGTGATCTTCAGCCCATCCTGGACAATGACCCCTCGCTCTCACAGGCCTTGGGAGGTAGGCCGGTCCTTGCCCACAGACAACCCGCCAACCTGAAGCATATTCTCACCAGCAACTACACACCGCACCATAATAACTCGAACTCAGGAACCAATCCTTGCAACAAACCTCGGTGCCAACTCTGCCCACATATATACACCAGCAACACCATCACAGGACCTAACCAGACCAGCCATACTGTCACTGGTACATTCTCCTGCACATCCACCAACGTAATATATGCCATCATGTGCCAACAATGCCCCACTGCTATATACATCGGCCAAACAGGACAGTCCCTACGTAAAAGAATCAATGGACACAAATCTGATATTAGGAATGGCAACATACAAAAACCTGTAGGGGAACACTTCAATCTTCCTGGACACACAATTGCAGATCTAAAAGTAGCCATCCTGCAGCAAAAAAACTTCAGGACCAGACTTCAAAGAGAAACTGCTGAGCTACAGTTCATCTTTAAGTTTGACACAATCAACTCTGGATTAAACAAAGACTGTGAATGGCTTGCTAACTACAAAAGCAGCTTCACTACATGCATCTGACGAAGGGGGTCTTTGCCCATGAAAGCTTATGCTCCTATACTTCAGTTAGTCTATAAGGCGCCACAGGACTCCTCGCCGCTTTCACTCCTAGAGTGTGATTCTCTAAGGGCTCGTCTAGACTGCATTCCTCTCTCGAAAGAGGAGTGCAAATGAAGCCAATCGAAAATTCAAATGAAGCGCGTATTTGCAAATCTCACGCTTCATTTGCATAATCATGTGAGAGCACTTTTTCGAAAAAGGATTTTTCAAAAAAAATCCCACAGTCTAGACGGGGTTCTTTTGAAAAAAAAACAAAAACAAAAAAAACCTTTTTTGAAAGAATCTGTACTCCTGAAAAAATGAGGAGTATGGGTTCTTGTGAAAAAGGGTTTTTTCCCCCCAAAAAACCCTGTCTATATTGCAGGGAGGGGGTTTCAAAAAACCCCTTTTCGAAAAAGAGCTCTCATGTGATTATGCAAATGAAGTGCAAGATTTGCAAATCCGCACTTCATTTGAATTTTCGATCTGCGTCATTCGCATTCCTCTATCAAGAGAGGAATGCAGTCTAGATGAGCCCTAAACGGATCTAACTCGACCGCTTTCATCAAGGGCATGTCTACACTAGGAAATTATTTTGAAATACCTAAATTCAAAATCATAACTCCCGAAATAGCTATTTGAAATAGCGTGTCCATACTACAGGGAAGCCTTGAAATTAGTCCGAGGCAGGTTCCCTTAATGCAGACGCGCTACCTTGACTTAGAGCCCCAGTAAGCACTGGGGAGTAAGTAATTTGAATGACTCTGGGGGAGTAGTTCTTTCGAAATAGCGGCAGTGGGGGTGTACACACTACCGCTATTTCGAAATAAGTGTTATTGCTTGTGGAAAGCAGGAGTTATTATTTTGAAATCACCATCCACTTATTTCTAAATAACAGGCTTGGTGGTGTTGATGCTTCATTTGTGATTTTGAATAAGGGGAATTAGCCCTAGCGTAGACCACGCTTGTGGATGCAAATCAGAGGCAGCCAAAAGATATGATCACAGTGGTTGTAGCTGAACAATGCCACGCTTCAAAGTAGGGAAGTACATGTTGGGGAAGTCTGGATCTAAGCAGGCCCCTCCATAGAAGCCAGACCATTACATGACTTCTTTTACTCGCTGTTTCTATTCTTGCTCACTCTGTTCTTTTCTTATTCTCTGCAGGTTCTGCCAGTGGTTTGGCAACCCAGCCTTTGTCAGAGCTGCTGCAATGCAGGCAGCCTCTGGAAGCAATAGAAAAGAACAGAGTTATCAAGGCTAGAAACAGAAAGTACAGCAAGTCATTTAGCTATTTGGGCTTTAATTGCAACGGTGTGTGTAAGATTCCCCATCTCCACCCCATTAAGCCCTCGAGCAGCACACCTGCTACGTACTCAGGAGTCAGGTATTTTTTGTGCAGCACCTTCTGACCTCCGTGAAAATTGTATAGAGCTCTGGAACTTACAGCATATGATCAGTGTGCCACACATGTGCCACTTTGATGGATGGATGTACACTGAGCAAATTGCAGGGCAGAAAACGGGTTATAAAAGTAAAACAATTTCTTATACTCTTATTGAGTCTGCTACACTGCCTCAGTCGATTGGGTCACATGAGCCAGCTTTCTGCAAGCGGCAATAGCTAACACCTGATTATTAATTATTATGTATACGAACATGCTTTTCTACAAGGCAAAACCCCAATGCCACCATGATACAAGTAGTGAATTATGAACTACATAATGCTGTAGAGTGTACAGTATGTGGGGTGGGAGTAAATTCCACCTTTACCCTACAGGTGGTCAGTTTATGACCTAAAGCAGGCGATTTGATTACTCTTATAATTATCCTAGCTCGTATGACAGCTACAAGCAATGATACTGGTCATAAAATTATCCAACCCATTTCAAAATCCAGCTCCAGTCTTTGCCTCTCTGACCCGCTGCTCCTGTGAATTCCGCAGATAGCTGATGCTATGGGCAAAGAAGGTCTATGTGTCATTTTATTGCTTCTAAATTTATTGCTCATTAATTTCAGTGACTGCCCCCTTTATCCTATATTATGGGGCAGAAAGAAGACTAATGGAGGAGCTGATTGGTTTTCATCACTTCATATACCTCAATCAAGTCCTCTCTACTACTCAAACTTTACAAGTGAAAAAACAACGAATAGCCTTTCAGTACCTTAAAGACTAACAAAACATATAGATGGTATCATGAGCTTTCATGGGCACAACCCACTTCTTCAGATGAATGGAGTTATTAAGGTCCAGTTTCAAAACAAACAGGATTTAGGGGGTGAGAGTAGGGGGAAAAAAAGAGGGGAGAATTCAATTAGAGAGACTCTGACTATTTCTTCCCCCACCCTTTATTTTTCCTTCTCTCCGACCACATCCCCCATTTATTTCCAGTTATAGACCAACTTGGCTATCTCTCTGAAGCATTACAAGTGAAGTTAACCAAACCATTGCAAACAGTTGGACCCTTGATGTTCCTCAGTGCCTTTATGTATTTAAATGAAATAAAACACATACATGGAATTACACCAATATGTGTATTACAGAGAGGGAGGGATGAAAGAAAGCAGCCTCAAAATTCCCTGTGGGAAGCCAGATATTCTGTGGACCAATTCAAAACTATATCCCCATTTTAATCAGCAGTAGGACTTGAACAAATACTTCCTTCTTTCAAGCTCAACTGGGCTCTGTGATAGCCTGTCTAGCTTTGAGCCTACCAAATTTGCAGACCTTATAGGATAAATCCACATGTTGAATTAGAAACAGGATTTGATTGTGAATGTGCTGTAACAGAATCAGACCAGAGGACTACAGGAAAGTGGTAGAGGGGAAATGTAGTAGCCCCAGAGTAAATAGGGTCCCTGCTCCCTGGGTAAACTAGCACAGGCAAAACTAGAACCAGCAGGAACCTGTTAGAATCAAACAGGAAAATTAAGCCAAATGAAACAGAGCAAAGATAATACAGTATTGTATTAAATATAAGTGTGGCGGGGTAGCCCCGCCCCCTTCGGAAACCGCCGTGGTGCCGCGGCAGCGGGGGAAAGGGGCCCCCCCGAGCGCGGCGAGTGCGGCCGCCCACACCCCCCGAGTGGGGGCGGGGGCGTACCGGCCGGGTAACGAGCCGGGACGGGCGGACGGCATAGACAAGGGGCGGGGGGAGGAGGCAACGAGGGTGACGTCACCGGCGCGCCGGCCCGGAGAGGGGCCGGAGGACGACGGGGGCGGTGACGTCATCTGCCTGCGACCGGCGGGCAGTTTAAAAGGCCGCCCCGGACCAGCGAGAGGGGGGAACACCGGGGAGGTGGACCCACCTTGGCAGCGAGCTGGGGGACTCAGGTACTGGAGACCCTGGGCGGAGGCCCGGGTGGAAGGCCTCGGGGGTGAGGTGATTTAGGACGGGGGAAGAAGTGGCCCAGGGCGGGGACGTGGACCCCGAGAGCGGGGGAGTTTAGGGTTCTCGACCCCCCCATTAGGTGAGGATTTTATCCTGACCTTAGGGCCCTGGGTCGGGGTCCGGAACGAGGGCAGGCCCGGACCCCCTTCCCCAACCAGCTGAGCTGGCCGGATCTGAGTACACGCCGCCAACAGCGGATAAAAGGATTGAGGGGGGGAGCGGACGTAAGCCTCCCCCGGGGGCAAAACCCCCACAATAAGCTATCAAAAATAAAGAGAAAGCGGCATTTTTTTGTGTCGTGAAGTTTAAAAGCTGCACTAAGTCCACGCTCAAGTGTAAACTTTTGAAAGGACATAATGCTTTGTTCAGAATCACGAACACTTCAGAGTTATAAACAACCCTGATTCCCAAGGGGTTTGCAACTTAGATTCCTACTCTGAAAGTGTGTCGACACAGCCACCTAAACGCGACATAAGATATGCAATTGGCACTATGCAAATTGCGTATCTTATTTTGAATCCGTTTTGAACTAATGCACTGTATCGAGCCATCCCTTAATGCTCGTGCAATGAGACTTACTGGGATGATGAAATAGCGTGCTCATTATTTTGAAAAATATTCGAAATAGCGGGCAGCTTGTGTAGACATGGGGTAGCTACTTTGGGATACCTGTGGCTATCCCGAAATAGCCATGCAGTGTAGACGTACCCTAAGTGATTTTAGCATCCCTGCAGCTAATAAATATTTGATTGCTAATACTCCACTCCTTAAAGACCAGGCATGGTGGCCATAATATCTGAGGCTGTGAGCTATCAACGATAGAAAGTTGAGCAGCATTAGTTCTGCTGAATAGTGGAAGAAGATACATTAAAGAAACATTCTCCATTAAACAGCTGTATAATATTACTGTGGAAACAGCTGTAGGGTATAAGGCGGTGCATACAGATGTATAGTATATGATTAATCAACTGCTTTTGTGCTTTCAAAATTAACTTTTGAACATTAATTACTTTTAATGTGGAATATTCTTTTGTAGATCTTGCATGCTTTGGGGGTACATGCCTGCACATTTTTAGTAAGGGTCTTAAAACAAAATAAACAGTGCTGAAGGAAGCTTAATTTTATTATTTTTCACTCTCTGTGCTGTAAAGCCATGATATGCAATTTTGGTGTTCTTGCTGAATTCACATTTTTATTTGTTTATTTTTTAATGCAGGGGTACCTATCAATCACGTTGTCAAAACAGCTTTGTTGTATTATCTGTCTAGCATTACCTGTCTTTAGCAATGTTTAAAGCTTCGCTGATGTGGAAACACTGATTTACACTCACATGTCTCCCAGACTGGACTTACTATAATTGTCTGTAACCTGGCCTTTCACAAACTTTAATGAGGAGATTACATAGTGGTCGAATGCCTGCTGCCAGACACTTTACTCTTTCCAAATTCAGAGACATTACTTCCACTAGATTGCATTGATCGCAATGGCATTCTGTGCAATAACCATGATGATTTCAAAATTCTTACTTTGACATTTAAATTTCTTCATGACCTTTTCCCTTCCACTCTCCCCCTCCTTTGCTTGACTAAACTTTAAAGCCCATTGTATTGTCTTCATTGTGATATTTCAGTCTTGGGACAGAAATTAGCTAACAATAAGTGGGGCTACGTCATGAAACTTTTACTTTATTAGGAACCCACTGGAGATACAGCTTTTCTGCTTTCCCACACTACCCAATCTGCTCTCTGCATTCTAATACCTCACTGTAGCTTTGCAGTCTCTGAGGGCTTTATGAAGTCTGGGATTAATTATATTGGTCAGTGGAATGGAGTCAGAAATTCTGGAGTGGATTTTGTAGTTCAATGAACTAGTTGACACATTATACTAGGTTGAACTAACCACAGTTTATTTTATACTATACACCTAGTATATTAGGATTTATCGGAGGCAGCTGCCTTAAAGGTAGATGGCGGTGCTATGTGAAACATGCAGTTGGAAGCATTACCTTTGCCTATCTAGTTGTTGAGAAGAGGATGGGTTGTTTGCCTATCTAGTTGTTGAGAAGGGCACTTCAGAATGTCACAGTGATGAAAGAGGGAGTTTCAAAGGTCAGATAAAACAACCAAGAACTAGGAGTCACCAAATGAAATGAATAGGTAGCAGGATTAAAAAAAACAAAAGGAAGATTTTTTTTCATGCAGTCCACAGTCAATCTGTGGAACTCCTTGCCAGAGGATGTTGTAAAGACCAGGACTTTAACAGGATTCAAAAAAAAAAAAAACCTAGATAAATTAATGGAGGTTAGGTCCATCAATACTTATTAGCCAGGATGGGTAGGAATGATGTCCCTAGTCTCAATTTGTCAGGGACTGGAAATGGTTGACAGGAGAGGGATCACTTGATGATTACCTTTTCTGTTCATTGTCTCTGGGGCATGTGGCATTGGCCACTGTTGGAAGACAGGATACTGGGCTAGATGGACCTTTGGTCTGACCCAGTCTAACTGTTCTTATCATTACATTTCTGAAGCTATGAAGTTTTCTTATCTGAAAAACTCTTCCTAATACACATGTCTGTACTAGGACTGATATAGTGCAGTTTTGCAATAACAAGTAAAGCTTCAGTGTTCACAGAAGATGGTATTTTAGTCCATATAATGACCCATTCAGTTTTTGGTGGACCCGCAGTAATTCCAACCAATGTGTCTATGAGAGAATGTTACTCACCCTCACAGCAACCATGGGTGCTCACTCTAGATGTCCATGAGTTCCATGGACATCAGGTTAGAGATTATAGGTTTCAATGCCTGTTCCGGCCACCTATGTGCCCTATGCAGCCTCAGGCACTGCACTCTGGCTATACAGAGGTGTATGGGCAAACCTCCTCAGTTACTTCTGTACTCCAGAGGTCTGTGGCAAAGCATTCAAAGCAGAGGGAAGGAGGGCAGGGAATGAGCATCCATAAGAACACACATCTTGAAGAACTACAGTTACTGCACCAGCTGAGTGACTTTCTCTTCTTTGAGTAGTGTCCCTATGGGTGCTCCGCACTAAGAATATGTCTACTCTATGGGATGAGGTTGGATTAAGACACATAGCTGAAGTCAAAGTACCTTTACTCAACTTT